TGGAAGGCTTAAGTGCAAAGTTGATTGTATTATTGTCCCCGATCAGATTCAAATTCGCATCATCCATTTCTGAAGTGTCTGACTGTCATGTGTGACATTAGACTATCTCGGAATTCTGTCACTCTGAACTCACACTGCTTAACTGATGTTTAGCTATTGGACATCTGTTAGTCAGTTCCATTGCGGGTAAAATTTCTGTTGATTAAGTCTCACAGTATTATACGGTAATATTTGTTGATGACGTTTCGAGCAAAATTTATCGCTCATATAAAGAGGGGACATCTGAGACCCTACGTAAGTTTCTCAATAAAGCAGGAATTAGAGTGGCATTTAAACCTACAAACTCACTCAGGAACAGGCCCTGTAGGTTGACCTAATTAAATAAAATAATATAATTTACAAAATACCTTGCAATGACTGTGAGGTCAACTACATAGGTCAAACTGTAACGACAGAAGGCAAGAGTCAGGCAACAGATCATTTATTAAGGAAATCAACGCATTTTTATATATGTTTTCATGTACATTACTATGGACATGTAAACAAACAAACACAGTCTTCCGATTGGTTGTTTCTGGCGACAAATCTTGGGAACGTAAATATTGACGCAAATTACTGTCTACCAATTTGGCTAGTAGACAGCTCTCACCACAAAACTAGTAGATCTTGCGGGGATAGTCAGATTGTCGGAAAATAAGAATTTGGCTGAGGTAAGAATGGTTGACACCACGAAGATACGTTTCCTGGAGTTCTAGTGAGAAGTCGTGACCAGTGAGGTTCATCCAGTTAAGTGTGAGGATGGATTTCCTACCGATGACATTGGTTGGTGATCGCGCTAAGTTACGAATTGGTAGAAATCAGAATTCGTAGGCTAGCCACTGAATCGCGTCCCAGTGGCTGAATGGTATACGAGATTGCCTTGCAACCCAAAGGTCCTTGGTTCAAAACCTAGTGGGTGCGTACTACCGATGACTCTCAAAAACTAGGATGAAACAACTGTCCAGTACTCCTTGGTTTTCAGTGGTTCTCTAAATGATATCAATCCGTGGTCAAATTCGTAAAAACAAATTTAGAAAAAAGCTCAGCAATTGCATTGCATGCATTAACACACAACCACACAATAGAGCGGGAGAGGGTTAAAATTCTAAGAAGTAATATAGGTCAGGGGAGAGAGAGGTTGATTACTGAAACCTTGTTCATCGAGTCTACACCCAACACATGCAATAGGAATGACTCATCACTCATACCGGAAATACGGAAAAGACTACTACCAATCAAGTTAAGTCAAGCGATAAAAAATTAATGGAATTATACATAAAAGAAGTTGGAAAGTTGAGTGACTACCTCGATATGATTATGAGCAATAAATTGTGCTCGAAACGCGATCAGTAAATATTACTTTATAACACTGTGAGACTTTATCAAAAAAAATTTTACCCAAAAATGGAATTATACTCTACCAACACAGTGCACAAGTTCTATTCTTATATCTGTTAGCCAGACAAATGTTCTGAATTAAATTTTGTTATTTGTGGTAGATACACCAGTTGGAGATTTGAAATCCACTGGAAAGTTGCCCAGCGTTCATTATTATAATTATAATTATAATAATTATTATTAGCTAGCTGACCTGCTTGAATCATTAGGCTACCTGAATTTTCATCCAACAACAATGAATCATATTTTCTTTAATTCTTATTAGTGTAACTATTCATTTACATTCTCAAGTTGCAAGATGTACTCATGTATAATTCTAGTTGGTTTTCAAACTACCAGTTCACATTTCTTGAAGACGAACGAAAAATATTATGAGTGATTTGTCTGTGCTTCAGATCAAAAACAGCGCATATATTATTTTTTTTCCTTCACGTTCCCCAGTGGAACATAGGGCTTCAAGCTAGTGGCTTGAAGTTTCTGTAGCAGTGTTTATTTTACTGGATGGGGTTGCTAGCCTCATACCCAACCTTTCTTCTTCACTAGGACTATTTCTGGCTTAGCGAGCTAAAGGAGTGCGTCGGCAGAGGATCGAAACCCGGACCATGTACATGGTCGGCGAGCGTCCTAATCGCTATGCCACCGACGCACAAAAAAGTATATTATAGATTATTATTTTGCTTGAAGACCCTAGATAAAGAGAAAATCTACGCAATAAATAAGACTGAGAGTTTTATGAATTATGTTAACGTTCTGTTCAGAACAAATCCGTTATTATCATTATTACCATCATCATTATTATCATGCGAGTGGCGCTATAAATAATACTGCGACTACAGTTCGATACTGTAAAGCAATATGTCACTCATCTGAACACCCATTTCCAATCGCATTGATTTCCATAGCCAGCGGAAACAAAGATGGAGGAGAGACTGGTTCGAGCCGGTGAGACAAATCAACTTTATGATATATATATATAAGTCGGAAAGTTAAGCCAATAAATAACCAGTTTGACTAGTCGCATGAGTTAGGACCTCAGTGTTGTCCAATCTCATTTTACTGAATATTCTATCTACTCAAAGTGATTTAGAATTGTCCAAATTGATTCGAACCAGTTTTGGCCTGTTTCCACTGGTAAGAGACTAAACGAAATTAGGGGTACACAACGTCTATATTTTTTGTTCTAGGAACTTGAAGACAGTAGGCATAAGACACAACTGAATTCCTAGAATAGTTTCTGTGGTGATTACATGAATCCTATGCTTACCTAAGATATCAGCAGTCAGTTCATATATCACGGCTTCTGAAGCTATAGCGTACTGATTGGTGTATTAGAATAAAGATTCGTTGTATCGAAACTAACCATTTGTTCAAAGGCAAGCTATCAGACGTCGTATGTTCTGTCTGCACTCTGTGTACTGTATATTTACATAAAGGCAAACACAAGTGATATGTTTAAACAACGATTGATAAAAGATTCCATTGAAACTTTGAACCTCATAAACATAAAAACATCATACAAACCGACTGAAATAAAAACTCAGTGTATTATAAAATGACACTGAAAGGCTGTTAACATTCATTTGTGACACTATTTACCTAACAGTAACACATTTGAAACTGTTGCCTTTAGACTGATATACGATCGTAAACTCTCCAAGATGATTATAATATCCAAGTTATTGATGTTCACCACATTCATAGTAATTTCTTCAGCTATAATTCCACTAACGAAAGTTATTTCAAGTCACGGAGATTTATGCAAAATTAAGGAACCTTTGAAATTTGAATATGATTACACTTCATGTTATATACTGGAAGAAGCAATAAAACGATTTGTGACAAGATTAAAAACGGACCACGTGCCACCTGGTTACATATACGCGGAGAATTGTTCAGTGTCGTTGGTGAAAATCGAGATCGTTGAAGGATGCAGTGAAAAAGAAGGTAAATTATGGCCATCAGAATCGATGAAAGAGTCATGTGAGTTGAACACAAATGTGAACTTCGAATGAATACGATTGGCCTTTTTAGATACAATGAAAGTATTGGACGGCACTATCACCATTCATACAGAAGAAGTTTGGGGAACACTACATGCTTTAGAAACTCTTTTCCAGTTGGTGCAGAAAGATATATCTAGTCATGTAAATTCCATTTGGAAGTGTTGAAAATGAATTTAGAATGAGATCTACGAGTATCTCATAGTGGATCTGCCACGATACATACACCGTGGAGTTATGATAGATACAGCCAGACATTATCTCAGCACTGACACAATAAGAAATCTAATTGTAAGTTGAATTGTCATTTCTGACTTGAAATTGATGATGATAATAAAACAAGGCTGCAATGTCAATGGTCAAGATGAATGTGTTGCACTGGCATATGACGGACGATGAATCCTTCCCATATGATTCCTCCGTTTATCCTGAATTGTCTTCAAAAGTAAGAGATTATTGTCGAGATAATTCATCATTTGTTTCTGGATTTTTCAGGGAGCATACCATCCTCACGAATATGTGTATGGACGAGGTGAAATTGACTCGTTGATAGAATTCGCTCGGTTACGTGGAATTCGAGTTATAGTTGAGTTTGATACACCTGGTAAGAAGGAGTCTTTTGAATACAGTGCTCATTTAAAAATGCTCAGTATTTGAGCAAATTTTCAATGATTTCAATTACTACTATCAAATTCGAAGTAAGTGTTTGAACAAGCGAGATCAGTAATCAAATCATGTGAAAGTGAGTGGTATCAAAATTTACAATTTGGTGAATGAAATCGTGCTAAAACGCTAGTTGACAGCTGCCAATAGTACAAAAATAACAGACATTCAGTAAATAGTCTGTTGTAGAAGCAACACAGAGAAGCTCTAAGAGAACTTAGAAATAATGAAAGCTTAATTATTAGCACTCCACATGAAGTTGGCAGTGTAGTTTTACTGGATAAAAGCGACTACGTTGAGAAAATTGATTGTATTTTGAATGATCAGACTAAATTCCAATCTCTTGGTAGTTCCAAAGATCTCAATGTAAAAACGAAGAAACTAATGATCGACTCTCTCAAAAAACTGAACCTAAAAGGAGTATTATCATCAGCTATGTATGAGTCTATGAAACCAACGGGTATCAACACTCCACGTCTTTACGGTCTACCAAAAATGCACAAAGCGGGTCTTCCTATTCGCCCAGTTTTAGGCATGTATAATTCTCCATTTCATGGAGCAGCAAAGTGGTTAGTGAAGATTTTGGGACCTTTGCTGAACTTCGTGTTCTCTTCTTAGAATGAAAAGGCCGAATTTTGTGAATGTCATCAGTGACTGAAATGTGTAGGGCTATTGTATCTCCATTTCGAATATTTCAGTTTATCCGAACACATATTGAAAACAACATTGGTTCTTCATGTTGGTAGAAACTCACATTACGAATTATTTTATGATGACCATCGGAAATGATCACTTTCCAGTTCACAATACATTAAAGGCTCATGTCTTTCAGAAATCACACCGGTGACTCACCACTCTTCCTTTCACCAGACCTTCTCAGTAAAAACATATGTGGATTTTATGAAATCACCTTTTCAACTATTACCACATACCAACAAACATCAACAAGTCACTTCGTTTTCTGATTCAGGTCATACTTTGTCATGGGGGGCAAGTCACCCGGAAATACTCTCAGGTGAATCACATGAAGGACCAATCAATCCAGCCAGTGAAGACACTCGTACAATTCTGTCAAACTTGTTTCAAGAGGTTGTGAGTGTTTTCCCCGATAAGTTCCTACATTTGGGTGGCAGTGTGTATGACAGACAGTTGTGGTAAGTTCACTGGTTTCCGTGAGTATTTATATTGATGAGGCATCTAAAGTGGAGACTGAGTGGTTATTATATTGTGCCATGCGTCTCACATTTTACTGATGCACTGAATCTTCAGTCCACTTGTTTATAGGACAATATTATGTCTGTTGTAAGCGTTATTATCATGTAGTAATTTGTGATACTGTCAAAATACTTATGGATTTCGTAAGTATTCCACGTATTTGAACCTGAATCCAAACTATGACTATCAGTCGTGCCCTATAGAATATCATCAGGATAGTTCAGTAAATGGTGGTTTGCTGAATGAAATATTCAGATAGGTGTCGCTATTGCTAACTAGACTTCTGATTCATCCGTGGGGTATTCTAGAAAATATCCTCTTTCTAATGAATCCATCAATTCTAAATGATTCTTGAGAACACTGTAGATGAAAGCTTCTCCTATGTATATGAACGCTTGTAATTGACGGAATGACCGATACCAGTAGACTCCACCTTTTTATACTACTGATTTGTTGATAACTTTCACATCACCATCTGTGAGATCATTGTTTCCGGGAAGATGAGAAGAATGGTGGCGTCAAGTGAAGCAATCACCGTCTCATCCATCACCTAAATTGTACATGCAAATGGCAGAAATTGAAACTACTGACATCGTGAGCATCACACAGTCGAAAATAGGCTACAGTTTGTCCTCCACTGAGATGATTCAGTAATCTTATATTCTATAATGAATTAGCTTAGCATCCGCTCTACCTGGCCTCCTACCATGACAATGCCAATAATTTCGGTTAAATGTGATATTCTGCACTTATGCTATCCTCGACTATTCAAAGTGCGTGCGTCTGTGTCTGTGTGTGTGTGTATGACAGATTTCATTTTTATGATTTAGGCAAGAAGATGCAGAGATTCAAGAGTTTATGAAGCAGAATGGATTTGACGAGGACTACAATAAACTGGAGAACTACTATTTTGAAATGCTTGCAGGAATCATTGAGAATATTGGTGCAAATGTACAGTCGACTATCACACCGATTGTGTGGCAGAGTGTATTTGAAAATGGTTATCGCGTAAGTTGACTTCAGAGTGGATGAGTGCTGTTTACTTCTCACTTTGTCTCCAGCTTTCTCACTCAATGACACGTATAGGTTGAATTTATTGCATTAGAAGTTTTACTAGGTATGACATGCAGTATTCAGTCATACATTGGAAGACAACCTTTGATATGAATTTTCACTTAGTGGTGCTAAATGTTATGTCTAGCAAGGGTTGTTGTTCAAAACTAGCTGTCATGAAAATATCACGTTATCTGGAAATTGAATCTAAGAGAAATTGTGAATCGTTTATTTTCTCACTCTTCATGATTGTATGAATATTATGTCGGACACTGAGTTTACAATGTTCGCTTGCATTCACCATCCATCCTGACATCCAACTATTTAATGTGCCTGGTTACAAATAAGCACTAGAGAGATTTTCGCGAGAAAACGGTGGAAACCTGAATGAGCCTTCCGAACAACCCTTCTGTAAGTCAGTTTTGAAATATTTGTTCACCTGGAGATTTCAGAATTTTGGTGTAAAATGCTTTTGTTGTAATCAAGGTATTGGTGACATGCAATTCATAAAAAGAGGTGAAGCTTTAACTTTTAATAATATCCTAGTTATCATATACAGGCAGAGTTGATTTAGAATGAGTTAATACTCAACAATGGATGGTCATTGAAGCTTTTGTCACAGTTGAAATTAACTCAAAGATGTACATCCTAAGCAATAAAATTTTCAATCATTTTCAATGAAATTATCTACACTTCTAGTAGGCCATTTTGACATGTAACAATAATTCCACGTTAGATTGGAACATTGTCGGCTATAAAGAAAGTAGTGAGTTGTAATTTGAAGGCATTGCTCAGGGCTGTGAACTGTTTGATGAATAGACAACGGTTCACAGATACATAGATAACTTTAATGAACACTACACATAACATGTCAATTTTAATTTCATAGGGAAACACCAACACTGTCATACACGTACACAATGAGTCCGATTGGCAAAATCTTGTCAAATCTATCACATCGTCTGGATACAGAGTTATAAATTCAGCCTGTTGGTCGAATCTGAATGAAGCTGTTGTCACAGACACAAGGAAGTTTTACGAATGTGACATATCACAATTTGAAGGTAAATCAGTGTGATGTTAGATATTCTCTGATTGAATATTGCTGATAACTGACCACACTCAGCAGTATTAGTAGCAGACAAACTATACGTGAGTTATCTTTCAGCGTGTATAACTGGATTCTATCTTGAGGAATATTATAACTGGATTCTGAACTTGAATACTTATAAAGAAGTGACTATCTAGTGAAGGAAATTCATCTTTACAATGAATAGATCTGTAGTGATGCTTCCCTTTTTTTAATGAATTATACCTAAGGAGTGATATCCCAACTTTTCGATTCTTAGTCAGTATTTTACAACATAGCAGTTATGTTCTTTTTCTTTAGTACACAGAGAGATTGAAAGTGTTATAGATAATTACACACTGATGCACAAATACACAAACGAAATGCAAGAGATACATAGATAAATGCAAAATGCACATCATGCACCTCTGTGGGAGGATTGCACAAGAAGTTCTCTGTGAGCCTAGACACCAGTAATTCAACGACTTCAGCCAGTTTCCTATTGCTTGTACACAACTGCTATTATTCTCAAGATAGTCCTGATGACAAGACCTAATTAGTGAAAAAGTGGTACGGATCAATACTCTAAATACAGTGTCGTGGCGAACAGGGGATTTTTTTTTATTTAGCTTCTACGACCTTGATTTCTCTTGGGCTGGCAATTAATACAATATGCAGTTGACTTGTACTAGTAGTGACAAGGTATATTGTGATTTCTAAATCTTACAAGAGAATCATGACACCTGCGATTAAATGATAGAAGTAACAGTGACACTCACTTGGCCCCAGAAAGTAGACATAAATGAGTGGTTGCAGGTCTCGTGGGTAACTCATCAATATTTTCCTCTCACATTGGATTCTGATGTGTCGATAAGTTCACCTTATATTTTTTTTGTTTCCTCTAAGGTACCGATGAAGAAGTTGAAATGGTGATTGGTGGAGAAGTTATCATCTGGGGAACATATGTGGATGATGTCAATCTCTTCATAGAATCCTGGTAAGTGACTTTTAGCATTTTATAGCAAATTTGATGTTACAACAGTGCGACAGTAAATATTAAGTTTCGAGACAAACGGAAGTTCGTTGAACAGTGAATGGCTAAACTGAAAAAGTTAGACTAAAGTAGCCTTGCACACTGTCGAGTGGTGTTGTTAGGATAGATAACCTCACATTTTGAGATAGATCACTGAAAAATACGAGTCTTGATTAGGACAGAAGTACAACCTTACTAAAACATAGTTACTATTAGGTATTTACGCTGTCACCAACGTCATCACTTGGGGAAAAAGCAAAATGCCGATTATTTTACTGATTTGTATCTAAGCTGTTCCCAAACGTAGAGGACACTCAACTACAAAAGTGTTTTCAGAAACGAAACATACAGCACCAGCTTATGTTATTAAAATTAGAAGAAAGACATTTTTAAACAGGTGGAACAGAATCAGTTATAGAGACATCAAGTGATGCGACTAAAAAGATATTCTCACCCACATGGAATATATCAACAATCAGTATCTTTATGAATTGAGTGATGATGTTTCACTTGTGATGTGATTGTCTTCACTAGTCAGTTTCTTTCTATTTACTATCACTATCTACTAAAGGCCAATAATAGCCGCAGCTGCTGAACGTCTCTGGTATCATTACTCACAGGACTTCTCCTATTTCTCAGACAGACTGAAAGATTTGCACTGTCGAATGAGAACGTGAGTTACATAATTTCATTAATCTTATAATTATATTGTGGTGTCAGGAGAAGTATACCAATTTTGGTTGTGTAGTTAGTGACTGACTGTTAGTTATATCACACGATGATTCTTAAGTTTTGCTTATTCGGAGAGTGAAATAGGAAGTGTGCATTAATATGCTGTGCACTGAATGGCATGCATCACGTCACATCATCACATGTATCCACATGTTCTCATCTATGAGCACAAAGTTCCTCTCGGATCTCATCCGTTGAGGGTTAAGATCTAAATTCACTATTGGATGTCCATACATACACCTCAGTGAAATTATAGACCTGTCTTCTACATATTGAATGGTGGTGATTCTAGACTCACAGAAGCAAGACGATAAACATAGTGACATTGAAGATGTGCACTTCCATCATAGTCTTAGTTGTTCTCATTGTATTTTGAAGACAGAATCTTACACTTAGTTCAGTGCACGTAATTCATTAGTGAGTCGAGTTGAAAATGCACTGAAAGTATGTATACATAATTGTGGATTTAAATTTTATCTCTTTTTTTGAAGATTCGACTGGAATGTGAAGCCTTTCAATGGACCAGGATACTGTCCGCTATATTGGTCACTTCGGATGGAGACACCATAATATCTTTAAACTGAAAAATAAAGCCTTCAACCTTGAACTACTGCTACTACTTTTACCTCTTTTAGTGTAACGATGAACGAATATATGATAAAATTTTAAATGTGTTAATTGCTCAATAGAAAAGGTGACTTGTGTGTTACATTTGAGAAATGAGTTTAGCAAAGTATTAAAAAGTGTTAGAATTGAAAGAAATGTGGAAGTTGTAGTATGTGCATGACTGATTGCTATTCTTGGCCATATATCTGGTGACGTCTCGTGCCTCTTTGTTAGTTTACCCTAGACACCACGCCCGAGGATTTGTGACGCACCAATATATGCCAGCCTCGTACAGTTATCTTTCATTCCATAGCACCACGTCTTGGGCTGAATTTCCTTGCACCTTTCGCAACTAGTTCCATTGTTAAGATGCAGTTAACGATACGTCATCCGTTGGGATGTTTAGACCACCTATTTGATGTTACAGTATGGTAACACTTATTGGAAGATTATCTTCACTGTGTTGAAACGCACTTCAGCAAACCTCGAAATCACTTATAAACGATGATGATGACGTGAGATACTAGCAATTTCGTGAAGGTATTAATGATTGAATATCCATAATTCTCTTATATCTTCAGCCTGTAATATGTAGCAGACTCTGGAGTGACAGTAGTAATAGATATCCAAGATAAAGATTCTTGTTTCCGTATGACAGCACATATGGAAAGACGATCATCAGCCTACTTAAGCTCATAACGTCTTTATTCAGGTAGGAGGTATACATGAGCCTCCCACACATCCTCTAAAGCATTTACAAGAAATTTACTGATAACAAAGTTAAAGAAAACTGGTGCATTCGTTGAACCTCATCTATTCCCAGTGTTGGATGACAACAGAAGTGGTAGCCGGTTATGAAAATTCACTCTACTTTTAGGTGTTTCTATGTACAGAGTTCAGTATGTTAACAAACTTCCCATAAATATCTCTCTCTGTCAGACTATACCAGAGGACATCTCTGGCCAAAAAATCGAAGCAAGACTTATTATCAACAATCAGTAGGATGATTGTCCTGTAATTGGAGTAACTTTGCTACAGCAACTGACGAATGGTGAACGTGTGATCAGTGCATCCATAATCTAAATGAAACTCGACATGCTCCTTGTAAGTCAATTTCCCAAGCAATTCATTCGCAGCAGCCAGTATTTTAGACGCAGCTGGTAACAGACTAGTAACGCGATGGTTTCAGCATGCATTACATAGGCCTTTTACAAAGATTGGCACGATTGTAGCTTCATTCCAGCTGTATGGAACATTCTCACTTTCATATACCTACCTAGGAAATTCACTCAGTCCTCTTACTAGGGTCTCACTAACTTCTTTTATGACAGCTGCAGGTAAATTGTCTAGGTTGGGTGTCCTATAGAGCTTGAAGTTCCAGGTGGGATCGATCAGGATTTCATAGCCTTGTTTAAAGACTTGACGCGCGTCACAAAAGCATGTATTGAGCTAGCTGAATTTAACACACCATCTACATCTTGTTAGTTCCGACCAATTTAGTTGTATATTTCAATTCAGTGCTAAATGCTATTATTACTATTGTTTCCTTTAATTCCTAGAGGAACATAGGGATTCAGCCGAACGTCTCCATTGCCTTCGGTTCTCTGCCAACGTTTTCATCTGGCTCCAAGTCTGCCCACATGCTTTCATCTCCTCTTCACATTACCTTGGACGACCAACTTGCTGCTTCCCTTACGGGTTCCACTCGAGGGCTTGTCTAGTGATGTCACTTGATAGCTTCCTTAGAGTATAGCCAATCCATTTCCATTTCTTCCTGCCTATTTGTTTTCCAATTGGTTCCTGGTTGGCTCGCTCCCAGAGACCTCTATTGCTGATCTTTTCTGGCCAGCCATCTGTTCTTGAGTGGTACTGAGCGAAGACAGCTGTTGATGATGGTCTGTAGTTTGTTTGAGATGCTCTTTATGACGCGTCAAGTCTCTGATCCGTATAGTAGCACTGACTTCACATTGGAGTTGAAAATCCCGATCTTATTTTTGATACTGAGTACTGTTGACCTGCACACAGTCTTGAGAGAAATGAAAGCTTGTCTTGCTTTCCCGATCCTTGCTTTGATATCCTCGTCAGTTCCGCCTGTAGTTGAAACGATGGTTCCCAGGTAGGTAAAGGAGGTTGCTTCTTTCAGGTTTCTCCCATTTATACTGATTGTTGTCTGTGTTAAATGCTAATCATTTGCAAATTCGCGTAGTTTGACATCTGACATACGAGTGGATTTTCATCTTTACTCATCGCTGTGTAACAAGTTCCCGACTGATGATATTCACATGTAGCATTGTTCAAGTATATCTAAATAACTCGTTAAGTATTCGTAAGATTAAGAAAGATTTTCAAACATCATTACAATTTTTAAACGTGAACTGGTTTTTCTACTAGAGCATATCTCAACATTATATTGCCTTTGAGCAAATGAATCTGCCTTCAGCTATGTTCAATTATTCATCAGAGTCAGATTATTTCACGATAAATTTCTTCTTGTAGGAACTTTTACCTCAGTTTAAAGAATAAACCAATAGACATTATAACTTTATGCAGTCTCTTCCACATAATCACCTCAGATTCGATCTGGTTATCAGTAAGATAATAAGTTTTAAAGTTCATTCGAAACACCTTCTTAATTCAAATTTTCACGAGTAGTAAGTAGGTTAATGTTTTCATTGAAGATTGTGATACCACTTTGAAAACAGCCCAGATGAAAAATAAACTTTGATTTATCTTAAACTTATTGAAACCAAAAACTTGTAATTACACAATGAAATGTGCGGTGGTTTTTGAATTCAAACATTAAATTACTAAAAATTTGTTGAATAAAATTTTAGGAATAAAAAAATGATAATTTAAATCTCTAGTAATAAATTTCATTCAGCTCACCACTACGGTAATTGCTGCTCACTATGTGGACCTTGAAATTCGATAAGTGATAATAATAATACTAATAATAATAATAATAATAATAATCTACTTTATTCCAAAAACAATACGTATAATACAGAATGGAATTCTCAGCATTTGTCACAATATTGCATTTGATTTACTCAAAATATAAAAATAAAATTAACCACAGGAATTTGTTCACATTTACGGTATAAAGTCAAAAATATTCGAGGTACAAAATGAGAATAATAAATAAAATAGTAATAATAATAACAGTGGTTTGTTTTAAACAGTATTTCCGATTCAGTTTGGAAATTTTAACATTTTATAGATTACTGAATCTAATTTGCCGCTGATGTAGCATGGTGAGGGGAGAAACAAATAAATAACAGTTATCACACAGCTTAAATAATGGTTACACTTTTGAGAAAATAAACAAAAAATGTAGGAGGATTATAAATATAAAAATAATAACAGTAAAGCTTGATGGAATAAGGATAGAGAAAATGGTTTATTTACTAGTGGAAAGAAGGTTAGTTAGTTAGTTAGTGCCTGACACTATTTTCATCACATAAAATACGTGCCAAATATGATATCGTGGAATTTTTATACTCTTTGCAAATGACTTCTTGTCTTACCTGAGGAGCTACGGGTAAAGTGGATGCTCACAGTTTGACAAAATTCCCTTAGCGGATTTGTTGCATGAAGCCAAGTGCCTATCAATGACTATGTCAACGATATGGCCCAACGGGATACCACTTGCCCTACTGACAATTTTCAGAGTTCTACGCAGTATGTCATAGTCCTTTTTAAGCAATCCAGGAAAGAATTAGGGTGAACAACAATAAATAAGAATAGGTAAGATGCACGAGTTGATAAACTGTAAGAGGAGGGGTTGAGTTATGCCTGAGTGCCTTAACTTCTTAATGTAAAAAGTTAGACGAAATATTCTTTTAGAAATCGCTAAGACATGGGAAGACCAGGATAGGTCAGAAGAAAGAATTAATCTAAGATACTTAACTTCAGACTTGATTTCTATATCACTATCATCAATTTTACAAAGGTCGTAGGAATTAACAGCTTCATTTAACTTTCTTTTACATCGGAAACTGAAATTAACAGCCTGACATTCGGAAGGATTTAGTTTAAGACCATTTGCTGGCTACTGATAGAAAGCTGTTCATCTTAGTAGAGTCTAGCTGGGAGTTAATGGGCAATGAAACAGTTAGATCATCTTCACACTTAACAAAGTCTATTTCATCAGAGTGAGGCAAGTCATGCAAGAAGAAAGAGGACACAAAAGCAGAAAGAATAGAGCCTTGAGGGACACCAGCCTCAGTAAGCAATGAAGTGAACGACTTCCCCTGACATACACTGTACTGCTTTATTTCTGAGAAATAAGAACACAGCCATTTGACAATCCAACACTCAGTTTGAGTTTCATCAAGCTTGTTTAACAAAATATCCCTAGGTACTAAGTCGAAAAAAGATATGTAATCTAGGAAGGTGCAGCGAACAATTTACCCCTTTGTCCAAACTGGAGACAGTGTTATGGTACAAGACTGCAGCTGCATCTAAAGTACTTCTACTATTTTTGTAGGCGAATTGTTTGGAATCGCTAAAGGCTTTAAGTGAAGGTCCAAGATTAAGTAAGAGCAACCTTTCCAAAGTTTTAAAAAAGGGAGGTTGTAGCAATAGGCCTAAATTTGATACATGTCCCAGTAGATGACTTAGGTATAGGTACAATTTTAATGTCCTCTCAAACGGCTGGCACGACATTTTTGGAAAAGCTTTCATAAAATATATCAGTGAGAGAATAACGTAGGATATCCGCAAAATTTTTTAGAATAACGCTAGGCAAACCATCTGGACCTAGGCTACGATTAGGGTTCAGCGACTGGAGACATTTTAGAATGTCATTTGTATTGAAACCGGGGAAGCAGCTTTCAGTAACATTTGTGACACTAGAAAGCTTGGCGTTTGTGGTAGAATGTATGAAAGCCTTGTTTAGTGTACACACACTGAATGAATAAGGAATACTGTTTATCTGCTTACCACTAGTAATCTCTTTGGAAAGTTTCCATATATTGGAGGCGTTTTTACAGGATATGAACTTCTGGTTTTATATTGAATTCAACCTCTGCATTTCACACCAATGATATCATTCATCTTATATAGCTTTTCGTTTTCACTGCGAAAACTTTTAAGTTTAGAAGAGGAGAAATGATCAAATCTGATGAAGAGTGTTTCTCTGGGACAACAGACAATGATACAAAATTTGAGAAAATATGTAATATTTGAGATGGTGTCTTCAAGGCAGTCTTTACTAGACAAGTCCTACCTTGTCTTTGAGCATTTGCCAAAGATTCTGAAAATTCCCCTGAGAGTAAAATCTATATTCAATTTTCTTGTACAGGTGTGAAAAGGTTCTCTTGTATAATTTTCCATAAATTCTGGGCAACACCCGTACAATACAATGATCGAACTTAAACAGTGGGGCTGTTTTACGAGCTTCGTATATTCAGGAGTGAAGAGTAACGATACAGATCTTTTATATTTATCACTCAAGACTTCCCATGCTGACTTTAACATCACACTGTCACTTATATTCAGAGTTTTCGGATTCAGTCATATATGCTTGGCGATTTCAGTGAATCTTTCTTCATTTGAATCATAACCTCTCTGTAGAATTTTGGTGGTATCATAATCAATCTTGAGTTCCGTTTTTATCGAATGTGGTACAATCACTGATTTGTTTTCAAGTTTATTAATTTTCAAGTGTTGGTTTGTAGGGATTTGATCGGTTACAGGATTTTCATCATGAGCTGACATTAGTTAGAGAACCATTGGAAGACCTGGGAGTACTGGACAGCTGTTTCGTCCTAGTTTGGGACTCTTCATCAGTACGCACCCACCGGGATTCGAACTTAGGACCTTCTGGTTACAAGGCAAGCTCGTATACCATTAAGCCACTGAGGATTTCGAAATTATCGCCAGGCAGACTGAAATTAACTGACATGCTGGGAGTCTACTTAAACACATTAGAATGAATGTGTTCCAATACAAGTTTTCACATTGTCCTGTGCATTGTGAATGACTTAGTTACATGTCGTCTACAGTCAGTCCTCTGGGCATTGTTTATGTTCTTTTACACACACACACACACGTACGCGTACAGTCCATCTACGTCTTGCTCATCTTGCTGAAACTGTAACTATATAATCGAGAGAGAGAGAGGTACATTCATCTACTGAACATTGACTACCACGCAGGATGATGTTAAGAAATTTAGTGATGAAATTGCTTAATTGTACACGCAGTGTAACTGGCTCGACAGGAAAAGTCAGACTGACAGATACGCATAAAAAAAGATGAAATTAAGTAGTTTATCTTTAGCTCCTGAGCTTAAAACTGGAGCAGTTGTAAAGAGACAATGAACTGCTGAGTAGATTTCACATTTACACATATAAATTGATTACAGTGTTGTACAATGTGTATAGTCACGATAATAATAATAAGTTTCTCGGTATGTTTACTTTGTATTTAATCGCATTATGCAACCGTAACTTGTGAACAAACTGAGATGTTTTCCGTTATTGAAGAATTTCATCATGGTGCACAAAATCCTGGTCCTATGAAAGGCTTTAGTTTCCAACCAAGTCTTGAAAAGAAGGAGAAAAAACAAGAGTGGAACCTCCTAAGGTATATTCACAAGATGTACTAGTAATGTTTTAAGTGAAAATTATGCATCAAGATTATAACTTAATTTCATGAAAGTAATAAAAAATGAATTGTGGTCACGAGTACACCAACCCGGGGATATACAATCCTCACTGTGTTTGCCAAATCTTATCACATTTTATCCATTTAAACTTAATCAAGAATGTTATTGCAATCATTCAGTAACAGGAAAGGAAATTTTCTCTTCGACAAATCATTTTCAAAAGCAGCACAATCGTGTTCATAGTCATCACCAGTCATATACTGGTAGTTAGGCTCTAGTAAGTGTTTTAAGTGAAATGAGAGATAATGTTGGCTGCCCAGTTGGATTACTGGATTGCTTGAATTTCCATTTAACACAATGCATCGTATTTTCTTTAATTCTTATTGTTTTAACTAATCAGTTGTGTTCTTGAGTACCAAAATGTACTCACACATATTTTCAATTGTCTTTCAACCTTCTGGTGTACATATCTCGGAGACAAAAGAAGTATAACAGGAGGGGTTTGTCTATACTTCAGATCGAATAGTATTGCGTCACGTTATACTTGGGGAGAGAATATTACGCGGTAAATTACACTAAGAATTCTGTACACCATGTAAACACTTTGTCGAGAATAAAGCTATTATGCGGACGGAAATCCCCACTTAAAGATTAAGAAACAAATGTCTGTATTACGTATTGGGTGTATGTAAATGAACAGTGGTTAGTGGAGATACTGTAAAGTTCGTAAATGAAATCCGTATGAGAAATGCAGAGTTGTCATTAAATAATAATACTAATAAAATGGCGATTACATTTGGAAACATTTGTCTCCCTATACAAATCAATAAAGCAGGATTTTAGGAAACTGTCAAATTCTGACAGAACTCCTCAGCTGAATACTCTACATACAGTGAAATATATATATATATATATTGTGAGAAACACGTTGACTGGAAAATTAACATTTCAGATACAGAATTTATTTTAAAATTTTCCTGTATTTCCTCTATTCTTTGTCTATATTGTCCCTTTAGGTAGATTAGGGCAGTTTTGCATTCATTACATTTATATCAGCCTGTGCTTCTTAATCTCCACTCATTTATTCCCCTCTTGATAATGTCTTATATTGAACAAAATATTCTCTCGAACATAATTACTAGTATTTGGCTTGTTTTATAAATTATCTGTTGATGAATATGGTTATAATTGTGGAGGTTTTGAAAACGATTGGTCTTAGAGTGAATTTCCTGCACTCATACATATTATTATGATTGTTCCTTGGGTTCCTAGTGGAACATAGGGCTTCAACTGCACGTCTTCACTTGCTTCTGTCTTCTGCTGTACTTTTCACCTGCGTCCATGTTAATCCATACTGTTTGAACTACTCTTCACACGATCTCCTCCATGTCACCCTTGCACCGACATCCTACTCGCCACTTCCCTTTCGGGTTCCACTCGAGCAATGGCCTGACGCGCGATGTCACCCAACGGCCTCCTCAGCGAGTGTCCAATCCGTCTCCACTTTCTCCTGCATATTTGTTGGGCGATTGGTTCTTGTTTTGTTTCTTCCCATAGTTTCTTGTTGGTGATTCTTTCCAGCGGCCATCTGATCTTCAGTATAGAGCGAAGACAGTTATTGATATAGGGCTGCAACAGGCTGTTGGAAATATTCTTTGTGACACACTGGTCAAGTTTCTGATCCGTAAAGAAGAACTGACTGACTTGACGTTTGTATTGAAAATCCGAATTTTGTTGTTGATGCTGAGTGATGAAGATTTCCAGATTGGTTTCAGATCGATGAATGTGTTTCTCGCCTTCCCGATTCTCGATTTGACATCCTCGTCCGTTCCTCCTGTGGTTGAGACAATGCTCCCTAGATAAGTGAATGAAGTAACCTCTTTCAAATCCCTTCCGTTGATGGTGATTGGCACTGGATGTTGCTGATGTTGTTGTTGGTTGGTTATTTTCATAACCTCCGTCTTGTCTATGTTCACCTGGAGTCCTGTCTTTGCTGCTTCTTCGACCAGTTTGTCGGTTTTTGCTTTCAAGTCTTCGATTTTGTGTGACATCAAACATAAATCATCCGCAAAATCCAGGTCTTCTAGGTTCTTCACGTCGGTCCAGGATATCCCTGTCTCCTCGTTTCCTACTGTCTGACGCATAATCCAGTCCACCACAATTAGGAATATCATTGGCGATAATAAGCACCCTTGTCTGACTCCTGTGTTTACTCCAAACGCCTCGCTGAGTTTTCCGTTGTATATCATTTGACATGTGCTGTTGACGTACAGCTGTTGAATAAGGTTAATGAATATTTGGGGTACGCCGTAGTACTCGAGTAGTTTCCAAATTATTTAGCCAAATTGCTACATAAACTTCAACGCACTCATACATTCTTTATAATAATGAATATCATAAGTTTCTACTAATTCAGAAACCTCTGAATTATTTCAATATAGTTTATGCATGTATCTAAAATTTATTGACAAATCAGAGGAGATTTTCAAGTGTTGCTTTTGGATGAATTGATTAATTTCAAGTATGACCATGAAGTGACTTCGGTTCGAGAACTATTGAAAACCAAGATCCACTAAGTTAGATGTGAGGATAAATATCCCCCAATAACATTGGCTGGCGGTAGCGCTATGTATCACGAATTGGTAGCACTCAGGGTTCATGAAGCAGTGTATTCTGTTGCGATGGCTGAACGACCAACAAGCTTGCCTTGTAACCTCAAGATCCTGTATTCCACCCATGGTGGAGCCATAGGTGTGTACTAATGAAGAGTCCTAAACAAGGAAGAAACAGTTTTCTGGTTCTTTACTCCTTACTGGTTCTCAATGGCTGTCCAACTGAAATCAGTTCGTGGGAAAACTTGAGAAGGAGATTTGTTTGATTTCCTCCTCAAAATTGTAAATGTAATAAAATCACTTTGTTTTTATCATAACTTTGCTGTAAATAGGTGTCATCAAAAGAGAAAGATTGAGTATTGTAACCTGCCTGATTATCAGACAGAATCAATAGGAATATAGCGTTCTTATTCGGCTGAGTTTATCAGAAATATGCTTCATAATAAGTCAATTCTTAAGCCAGTGTATATCAGTCCATTATGGATAAGATTTTATTTTGATAAATCACACAGTGTTACACAGTAATATTAACTGATGACGTTTCGAGCACAAACTTCATATGATTATGAGCAATAAATTGTGCTCGAAACGTCATCAGTTAATATTACTGTATAACACTGTGTGATTTATCAAAATAAAATCTTATCCATAATGGAGTTATACTCTACCCCAGTGCCCAAGTTTTATACTTATATCAATGTATATCAGACCATATCAACTGATTAATAAAAACGATGAACGAACTTTGAATGGAATTAATCTGTCAAATAGTAAACAAGATATTTCTGAATTTATTTTTGTATTGACCAAAGTATAAATTTCTGTTAAGTGATATGATCACTACTTTGAGTGGAATCAAAGGCCAATACAATTCGCTTGACATTACGTAAGAATATATTATGCTAACTTCTCAATTTATGAGTATCTTTCGATAACAAATAATATTAGGGGTACAAATGCAAAGTGCAAAAAAAACACGATGATGCACTAGTATTCTGACTCATCTTAGATGCTGAGATAATTTGTTGTTTACAGAATCTCAGTAGAGTAGAACAGCGTATTTCAGCGCCTCAATTAACATGCATCAAGGAGATATCAACTATCTATAGTGATTCATTTCGACTCAGTCTACATTTTCACGTATAAACAACTTGATAGTAAAGTTCTTTACATTAGACCTGATGATAAAAATTAAAATGTCGTATCAAACATGATTTTCCACAAGGTTGCAGATATACCATGTTGGAAAGGAGAGAAAATCTGAGTCAGACATGCCTACCCACTGACTGATAACTTCGTGAACGATGTTGTGTAAGTCAAATAGTCAACGATAGATAGATTCCGATTAATACATTAGGAAAAACATACACCGAAAAATTAGCTGCTGAGAGCTGATTAAAACTAGGATTAATTATTCATGCGAAAAGCGAACCCACTGACAAAATTGTCATACAGTACTGATTTTCATAACTCACACTTTTATTTGACAGTAAAGCATTTTCAATTTTGTTAAGAAGAATTGAAAGTCGTTTGCATGATCAGCCCAAAGACGTTCAGCTGCCACAGTGATAACCGGCCTTCAAAAATACATAATGAGAGAAAAGATTTAATAGGACAGTAAGTCGATGAATACAGCAAAGAATATATGATCTTAAAATATTCTACAATGTCCAAGTATTGGTGTTGTAGGGATTTTGTTTGATTAGATGGGAGATTTCATCATGAAATAACATCAGTTAGAGAACCATTGGAAAACCTGGAAGGGCTAGACAGATGTTTCATTCTAGGGGTACGTACCCAATGAGGGTCGAACCCAATGGTTCTCTAAATGATGTTAGCTCATGATGAAATCCTCCAACCAGTCAAACAAAATCCCTACAGAGCAGTACTTTAAAATTGATCTGATGCTCACTAACGACTGGCCCTATTCAGGTAGGTAGTTACTTGCGGTTCTAGTGGAAAGTCGTGACCAGTAGGGTACAACGGGTCGTCTGTGAGGACAAATACTCGTCACAGATGACATTGAACAGTGGTCACGCTATATCGTGAATTGTCAGAAGTTGGAATTCATGGGCTGGCCATTGGATCGGATCAGGTCCCAGTGGCTTAATGGTCTACGAGCTAGCTCGCCTTGTAACCAGGAGGTCCTGGATTCCAGCCCCGGTGGGTGCATACTGCTGAAGACTCCCAAACTAGGCTGACGAAACAGCTGTCCAGTACTTCCTGTTGATTTTCCAATGGTTCTCTGACTGATGTCAGCTAATGATGAAATTCACCAACTATTCTGCAATATTTGTGCATCAACATACTGCGAGTAAAACAGAAAATAAAATATGATTATAAACAGTAACAGTTTAAAATCAGTGTGAAGAAGTAATTTCATGGATTAAGTCGGCTTATTAAAAGATTGCCAGACTCTGATTACCTTAGAAAATGGTTTCATGAATACTGAAGTACGTGAGTTGGCTAGGAAAAAATAGGCATTTAGTAACTTGACAGACAAAAAGATAGTTGAAAGCTATGACAATATGGTGACGAAATCCATTCAAATTAAAGCAGTGCCATGTTATTTCTGATTCATAGAAGCCAGTGAAGCGGAACAATGGCATTATCTATCCAGATGGAGCATACATGTTCATAGATTTATTTACTTGAGTTTTATCATCCTATTTGATGTTTTTTATGCCGATGAACATTTCTTTAAATATATATTTTATTTTTTCCTTCACGTTCCCCAGTGGAACATAGGGCTTCAAACTAGTGGCTCGAAGTTTCTGTAGCAGTTTTTATTTTACAGGATAGGGTTGCTAGCCTCATGCCCAACCTTTCCTCTTCACCAGCTTTATTTCTGGCTTAGAGAGGTAAAGGAGTGCGCCACACAACTACTACCATTACTATTGGTACCATTATTTTTTCAATAGGAATACTGAGATGTCTGCTAGCAGATTTTTGCGAAATGATATACAGTAATCACAAAATGTGACAACCTGTCACGAGATCTGCAAGTCACACAAGGTATTTTTATTTTCTTAACTTCATCTTGACTTCAGAATACCTATACTGTTTCCCAGTTTTCTTTATTCTTCTCGTTTGCAACTTATTCTGGGTCTCGACTGTTCAAGATTCCTACAGATATAGCACAATATACTACTTTCAAATTCTTGTCAGTAACACACATCAAGACAGGAATACGTTGGTCCGACAAGAAGACTCTAGTAGATTTAGGCTTCATGGATGATTTATGTCCAATGTCACGCACACCCTTGAAGAATTACAGAAGAAAACCAACAAACTGGAAGGAAAAGCAGAAAAGATAGGACTTCAGATAACCATATGAAGATAATCATCAACGATAACGACAAGCACCAAACATTATCAATGGTAGAAATTTGAGGGAAGTCAACTCTTTCACTTATCTTGGCAGCAGTGCTTCAACTACAGACAAAACAGATGAAGATGTCAAAACAATAATCTGAAGTTACTTTCGACATTTTCTGCACTAAACATAAAGAACAAGATTCGGATTTTCAACACCAACGTCAAATTAGTGCTTCTTTACGGGTCAGAGACTTAGCATGTCACCAAAGGCATTGATAAAAGGCTGAAGACTTTTATCAACAGTTGCCCCCTTCGCTGGATCAGTACCAAAGGTCAGACGGCCGACCAGAAAGGATGAACGACAGTCAACTCTGGAAACGAACCAGCCAGGAACTTGGTGCCAAACAAATATCTCTAGGAAAATGGAGATGGATCAGACACATGGTAACGGAACCACTGAGCAACATATTGCTCAGTGGAAACGGTACCCGAAGAAAAGGTGTGAAGAGGAGACGATAACTTATAGATAATCGTAGAACTGGCCAAAGAGGACTGCAGAGATGTGTAGGCGAAGCCCTATCTTCCACTTGGAACCTAAGGGAATTGTAACAAAACACACCACAGCACTAAGAGTATTAATAAAGACGTTTCCGTCTATCTCGGTAACGCTTAACAGTCTAGGTAAATTTTTCACTTACATTCAGTTCAGAAATTCAGTCAATTCCATTAGAAACAAAACAGACTTAGGCCACAATCAACAAGAGTTGTAAGGAGGTTAAAATAGCGGGCAATACTGTCTTATCTTAGATTATAACTTTTAAACTTTCAAGTGATTTATGCAACGAAACCATTCAATTCTTTACCAGTTGCTTTTCTGTGAATGAATTTAACTATCATCACTGAACTATGTCCATAGAAATGCTTGTGGAAGATATCACTGAATCATTTATTTATTATTTTTATTTTGATTTACAGCTTGATTCCACACCGTATTTTCAGTACAAGTGTGGAATTTTCAGCATGGATATCGGTAGCCCAAATTCAGGCCGACCATAGATATCGGGTGTGCGCCGGCAGGGGCTCGAACCCCGGACCATGTGCATGGTCGGCGAGAGTCCTAACCACTGTGCCACCGACGCACATCTAGACTCATAGTGAAATGCATAGGTGGAGTACATTAGTTTCCACAGAATTTTTGCTTATCACAAAATTTGTCTCACAGGTCAACTGAATAAACTAAGTATTCAGAAATGGATGTGGCTTTGAAGAAGATGCAGCCGCTTGTTCAGATATACTTCAGTGTCTATCATATTACACCACTGATATTTTTAAAGATGAGTTGTGAAATTTGAAACGAGGGAGAAAATTTGAGGGTTTCAGACATATTGAGATGAATAATTCAGAGATCAATGAAGTGTTGGAAATCACTTACCATAATTCTAACAGTAGATTGATGTCATCCACGTACGTTCCCCAAATGACGACTTCTCCACCAATAACCAGTTCAACTTCTTCATCAGTACCTTCCAGAGATGAAATATGCGTAAGAAATTTGTCAATATTCTTTAAATTACTATTAGTATTTGACTAATTGCTGCATGTTTTATTAGTTCTATATAATATCATCGAAAGCTTTACCAAAGCACTTATGATCTTTCTTTAAATCAAAGTATTATGAGTTGAATAAGGATTTCAATTATTTTCATATTTGGATGCATGCATTATATATGCCACTAGCCTGTTAGAAACGTCTGAATGTATAGGTCCAGACATGGGTTATTTATGATGCGCAGCATCCAGTGTTTCAGGAAGATGTTGCTTTCCCTACAAAACCACAACTCCTGTTTGATGCATTAAGGTCATCAATGGAAAGCATTGTAAAGATGTATACATTGGAGATAATTTCTTATTCAAAAGGTCCTAAAAGTGTACATAACTCACCTCCAAAATCTGAAGGCTGACAGTAGTATGCCTTTTCTCCATAATCACTGAAATCTCCGTGATTCTCGGACCAACACGCTGAATTTATGACTTTGTAGCCAGCTGATGTGATAGATTCGACGACACTTTTCCAATCATCATTATTTAGTACTTGTATAATTGTGTTTAAATCCCCCTGAAAGACAAAACAGTGAGTAAGAATTACAGTAGCATTCTTTGGGTATTCGTTTTTCCTTAAGTTACTTGACATTTACTTTCGCTATTATATATCTGATCATTTTAAAATAAAACTGTGATGCACTACAAACTCGGGTGACGTCGTTGTTTTCCGATGTTTAATGTCCTGTCATATTTGACTAGCAACCTTCTTGAACCACTTCAATGTTAGGAAACTGACCAATGAGAAAAGTTTTTATATGTGTTTGGTTGCTTTTCAGTATGCTAAAAGTGTAGAAAATTCTGCACAATATTCTCCGGAAGAATTTCAGTGTAGACACTTATTTATTGGTTACAGGATTTCATCATAATCTGACATCAGTCAGAGAACCATTGGAAAACCAACAGGAAATACTGGACAGCTGTTTCGTCAGCCTAGCTTGGGAGTATTCAGCAGTATGCACCCACCAGGGCTCAAACCCAAGACCTCCTAGTTACAAGGCGAGCTAGCTCGTAGACCATTAAGCTACTGGGACCTGATCCGATCCAATGGCCAGCCCATGAATTCCAACTTCTGACAATTCACGACAAAGCATGACCACTGTTCACTGTCATTTGTGACGAGTATTTGTCCTCACAGACGACTCCTTGTACCTTACTGGTCGCAACTTCCCCCTAGAATCTACCTGAATAAGGCCAGTGTAACTATTGTAATCTCTTTTGATTTTGACTACTTTTTGTATCAGTGTGATTGTGAACTGTAACGACACACCTCAACATCAAAATTACCCTCATTTAAAGTTACATAAGTTGATGACTAATTAATTTTCTTTCCAACATCAAATAACAGCAGGATGGTTGTTCTTTTGATTTACGTGTTTCTTTTAAGTATGAAGTACAAGATGCGTAGATTTTTTCTGAGAAATCCAGAACAATAATTTTCAATCGAACTTCCATTTGAATAAACCAAAACGTTTAAGTGATGCGTTAGAATCCCAAAAACACAGAACTTGTCCAAAATACACTATTGTTTTACATATAAAAGTAATGAGTAGAATAGACAAACATGAAATTGTGAGGTATCTGGATTGAATACCTTCAAAATCACTATCACTCTACATTAATAAGAAAAACATCAGAGCTGGGTCGAAAGTGATCCACGGCCAGTAACAGAACAATGTGTGAATGTAAACATCAAGAATAAAGATATGTAAATGAACAATATTCATCAGAGAATGGAAGATGATGAAGAAAATTTGTGACCACGGGAACAAGGCTACTACAGACCAATTAGAATGATAGAAATCAATATTTGTGGTATTAGAGTAACGAAGTGGTCAGAGAAATTTAAACTCGTACAATTTACTAGTCATAAGTAGTACAAAGTTGAACACAAAGAATATGCGAAAATTGTGTTTCTATAAATCTCAGCGAAATTGAAATAAACAATTACGATGTTTTGTTTTGAACATACTACTAGGCTTTCTTTATAAACTGTAAGTAGTGTGTGGGTATGGCTGTATGCTTTCATTACCAGTCTAATGTGAACGGTAGAATAAAGATTATGGTGACCTGGTAAGTAGTATAAGGGTGTATATTTGAAATTGCGTATCTGATACACAACACTGCCTATGGGTGAGAAAAAATGCATATCCTCTGTTGGTATATTCAGGATAAAATAAATTAAGATAAAATTAATATTGGTTACAACTGTTAGACATTGGTGTTTCAGTTTCAGTTTCCAAGTCTATCCATCCATATTGAGAACCATAGTAATTTCAGTTGTGGTGGTGTGATTCAATGCGGCATTAGCAACAGATTACGATATATCTATTTGAATATACTATTTGAGGTAAGAGACAGAGTACTTTTCCCACAGTTCAATACTGCATTAGCAACAGAATGCCATATGTTTATATTTGGACATTTTATTTCATGTCTTTTAATGTAAACCGAAATCACACGCTCAGTGACTGGTTAATGAATATAAACTGCATATACATAAACAGCGGTTCGATTAATCAAAAAGAAACCGTGGCTTCCGTGTCTTGCCTTCTGTTGTTACACAGCGTAACACCATGGACATGTGTTGTCTCAGAAGATAGGGACTCTGAAGTCAATCTTTCTTTATTTGACCCATAACCTTTCTGTAGAATTTTGGCAGTATAAAAATCAACCTTGTGTTTCACTTTCTGTCGAATGTAGTACAATCAATGGTCTGATGATATTAGATAGTTGGAGGCAATTGGCAGGAAGCCTTCAACCTAAGTTTTGTGCTAGTTGGCACTCGTCATGTCACACTAATTACTAGTGTCGCATGAAAATACCCACTACAATCCTACAGGAGGTCAATCGCAAGCCAGCCCGAATAGCTCAGTGGTAACGTCTCTGACTGCAGCACTGGGTGACGCGGGTTCGAATCTCAAATGGAAGATATGGTTTTCTGACTAGTGAGTGCCAACTAGCACGAAACCTAGGTCCAAGACTTCCTGTGGCCGATTGCCTCCAACCATATAGTATCATCAAATCAATGTGCACCGTGATGGCGGGCTACTTTGAGTGGTGGCCACATTGCAAACCTGACTGATAGAATTCAGTCTGCACCAAAGAAAGGACTCGACATGTCACACTAGTTACTATTGTCCAATGAAAATCAATGGTCTGTTTTCTAGTTTAGTTTATATTCCACTAAGGTTTTTGAAATGGCAAAGTTAAAATTTAAGCACCACTAACTACCAATCAGCGAATTACAGTGAATAACGCACCAATCACGTGAAGGAGGCATTTTTGTATATGGAATACATATATTTATGAAAAAATTGCATAAAAACTGCATAAAAGTGTTACAGAGGATACCTTCCTCTCACGTGTGATAAAAATAGCTTTCAGTGTCAGGTTTCAGTATCAACAGAGTATAATTGCATTGCGGGTAAAATTTATTTTGATAAAGTCTCATAGTGTAATATAATAATATTTCCTGAGCAATAAATTGTGCTCGAAACGTGATCATCAGTAAATATTCCTGTATACCACCCTTAGACTTTATCAAAATAAATTTTACGCACAATGGAATTATACCCTACCACAGTGTCCAACTTCTATTCTTATATCAACAGAGAAATTTAACCACACTCTCTGCATATACTTATTTACGTCTTCTAATCCTAATCTTTTCTGAGCCTAAACCTAAAGTGAAAATATTCCTAAACTAACTGTAATCTAACTCGAACCAACCCTAATGTCGCATTTAGTAGGTTAACCTAACCCTAACTTGTCCTTGGCTTAAAGAGTAACTTAATCTTTCCAAAACCTAAGCTGAAACCTGCCAGATATCCCATTTAATAAAATAACACTTCAATTAGCGTATTTTATTGGCCAAATTTCACTAACTTGCTCAGTGAGCGTTTCAGGGTCATTGGTGCTGTCGTACTCCATTAGTAGTTAGTGGTGCTTAAAGTTTAACTTGGCCTTTGAAATTATCTCTAGATATTGTGATGCTGTGTATGTAGGAGAAATTTCCAGGCAATGCCCACATTTTAATTTCATTTATTCATTTCTGTTTGTCATCTCCCTCCATGATATCCTTCATTTTTACCAGTGACAAAAGTTAAATATTCGTAACACGAAAATACACCTTTTATGCTATGATTGTTAAGGGTTCTCTTCATTTCATCTTGTTTGTTTGTGATTAGGAATCACCACATTGCTTACCCCTTTCTTGGCTGGAGATTACAATACATCCTTATCCCCACTTTTTAAATACCCTTTTATAAAGGTTTTTGGGTTATTATCTGATTCTAGGGTAAAGTGAAGCAATTTTATTTCTCTCCTAGTTTCCTCCACCCCATTAACTTGATGTTTAGCTCAGTTAATGAGAGCCTTAGAGAGAATTGCTTGGATGATAAAGGGATGCGTTGAGTTATATAATCCAGTTATCTGTCAGAATACGAAGGCTGATAAGAATTTCGACAAATTAAGAAAATGGAGATAAGAACAGAATTAATAATATGAAGATTTATTGATCACTTGTGTAGTGTCACTACTGATCTGAATAAATTAGAGTCTTTGTCAAAGCATAAGTATTCTTAAAATCTCCAAATGCGATTCATTCATTACCAAGAAATTGACATCAAACACAGATTACTTCTCACCATTTTCAAAAATTACACATCTTGTGCTATGGTGTTAAATTATGTGCGGAAAATGGTGAGATTGTATAATTAATTTAAGCTTATGGTGGTGTGATACAGACAATGTGTTCCAACGGAATATTAATCTCACATATTCCCGCAGTTCAATACTGCATTAGCAACAGAATACTATATATAGCGGTTTGATTAGTTGAAAATATACGTTTACTTCTGTGCCTCCTCTTCTGCTGTTACAAGCTGAGCAAGGTAGCTACATAAATTAAAAATTCACTGCTACTATACGGATCAAAGACTTGGCGCGTCATGAAGAGCACCACAAACAAACTACAGACCTTCATCAACAGCTGTCTTCACTCAATGCGACTCAAGATCAGATGGCCAGACAGAAATATCAGCAACAGGGATCTCTGCAGTGAGCGAACCAACCCAGCAGGAACCAATAGTGCAACAAATAAGCAGGAAGAAATAAAGGTGGATTGGCCATACTCTGAGGAAACCATCAAATGACATCACTAGACAAGCCATTGCTCGAATGGAACTCGAAAGGGAAGCGGCGAGTTGGTCGTCAGTGTGAGGGTGACTTGGTGGAGGTCGTGTGAGGAGGAGATGAAAACGTGTGTGCCGACATGGAGCCAGGTGAAGACTCTAGCAGATAACCGAACGCAATGGAGACGTATGGCTGAAGCCCAATATTCCTCTAGGAATTAAAGGAAGCAATAATAAATATATAATAATATATCCCTTTACGCTAACTACTTCGTATTCTATGAATTGAAATAATTATGCAGATTTTGAATCGACTGCTTTCGCTGAGCTCATTGATTCAACTGCTAATCAAATTCTGTCTCGCTTTCCCCAAAATCCTACATGATCACGTTAGCCATCATAGTGCTTCAAATATATGTTAAAGCTCAGAATTTGTTAATGTGAAAAGACAATAAAGAACAAACATCGTGAAACTATTTCCTCACTTAATGAAAAACTTACTCTAAATCCGTTTACAAAAACACTGTCCCAAACAACTGGTGAAATAGTCTTTTGTGCATCTGAAGCGATATTCTGGATGATTTCTGTTAGTTGTTGAAAATAATAACTTTCTAATTTATTGTAGTCTTGATCAAATCCCTGCTGTTGCATAAATTCTTGAATCGCTTCATCTTCTTGCCTACATGATGAAATGAATTAATGAAAACTTCATTTAAAAACAATTAGTTCCCTTCAACGAATTTAGACAAAGCAATAAGAAGGCGTAATTTGTCTGAATCATGTAATTTATTGGCGCAGCACATTTGAAAGAATCTGTGAGTACTTATTAAAAGATATATTTGAACTGATTAACTACCTTGATGATATTAATATTATTAATAAAAATTCGTATTCTTTTGATGTCAACTCTTCATTCGCTAATGTACCTTTACTTAAAACAATTGACAATTTGTGTGACTACATTTTCACACATAATTTTCTAATTCTGTTCCCTATATCTTATTTAAAGGATTTATTACTTTTATGTACTAGCAGCATTAGATTCTTATTTGAAGGCGATTGCTTCCATCAGATCGATGCCGTAGTCAGGTAGTCTCATTAACAATGAAATTCTCAGCTTTTTCTGAAGATAAAAAACTCGGGACGCACCAACTTTACTGTTTGCTTGGGCAAAACACGTTGAAGATTTTTGAAATAAGAAACTATCCAGTTAAATAAGTGCTGTCGTTCTAACTTTATAGATGTTTTTTTACATCATTGCATAGCGCCTACTAAGTTCTCCTCAGAACAGTAAACCCACCCTTGAGTTTCTTCTTCAGTGGCTCTCCTATTAGTGTTACTTCTCCGAAGGCGTTGCTCTTCATTATACCCATATCCATCTCAAGGTAACACACCACACTACTTTCCACAACCAAATGTTCAGGAATGAAATGAGGAGAAAATATGCATGGATGAAAACATTCTAAACCAGATTATCCAGCAATCAGTGTAGGATAATATTTAAGCATGCTGAAAATTAAATTTTGTCATCTTTTAGATTTAAACAAGAAATTGACTCATAAGTATGCTGGACTCAAATGAAACTGAAGTCCTGACGAACCATTCTGCTCTAGAATGAATTAACTCCCCTTCACATGAAATGTTACCAAACACGTTGAAAGTGAGCTGTTGATGTTCGATATTAACGATTTAACGATTGGTAAACTCACCACCAATGTTTGTCAAAAGCACTGCCACCTAAATGCAGATACTCATCGTGAAAAACACTCAAAATCTCTTGGAATAAGCTTGATAGAAATGTAAGGATATTTTCACTGGTTGGGTTGATTGGTCCTTCATGTTCTTCACCTGTAAGTATTTCTGAGTGTCCTTTACCCCATGATAAAGTGTGTCCTGAAACGCAATAGGATAGTGGCTTTGAAGTAAATGTTTGACAGAAACAGTTACAAATTATTTTCAGATGAAGACAGTTAAAGTTTTTTCTTGATTGGACGCTAGTTAGTAACTGGTGTAGTATGTGTTTGTGTGTGTGTGTCTGGTCTTATCTTTGGTGTAGACTGAATTCTATCAGTCAAGTTTGCAATTTAGTCACCATTCTAGTTAACTTGCCATTGCAGTGCACACTGGATTAATCGGCAGAAAGGCCCAGCAGACAGAGACCATGGTGACCACATTGCAAACCTGACTGACAGAATTCAGTCTGCATCAGCGTAAGGATTGGACGTATAACTCTGGTTGCTGCCTAGTGAACACATCGAAGGAATCATCAGCAAACAATGAATATACTTAAGTACCATAAGGAAGGAATATGAATCACATAAAATAGACCCTATACACTCTTATGTCAAAATTGCCTTACCAAGCTATTTTGACACAGCAATATAATTCGTTTCTTTAAACTGTAAAACTTTATTTATTTTCCCAAAGTTACTTCAAAACTATTCCTCACCCTGGTGTAAATTATCTTTCTAATTTACGATGAATATTTGGCATAACCTTGAAGTGAACTGTCACTACCTGACAATGTTACATATCCAATGAGCACGTTGATTTCACTCAGAAATAAGTTTAAATACAGAAGAATTTGTCATTCGAGATGTTTCGTAAAATCACATCTTACTTGAGTGAGTCGAAGTGTTAAGATTTCATAACTAGTAAAAATGATGCTTAACGTACTCCTCACCTGGTGTGTCAAATTCCACTATAACTCGGATTCCGCGTAGTCGGGCGAATTCAATCAACGCGTCAATTTCACCTCTTTCATACACGTATTCCTGTGGATGATATGCTCCCTGAAAATTCCAAAAAGAAGCGAATTATATCCATGATAACCTCTTACCTTTGAAGATAATTCAGGATAAATGGAGGAAGAGTACGGGAAGGATTCATCATCAGTCATATGCCAGTGTAAAACATTCATCTTCACTATTGACATTGCAGTCTATACTCATAGTGAATGAAGTACATGAATGGAAGAGGCATATTACTCACTGTAACATTTTTAATCGTCTCAATACTCAGATAATGTCTGGCTGTGTCGATCAACACTCCTCTATGTGCAAATCTCGGTGAATCCTTTACTCTACATTCAAATATTTGATTCTAGGTAATAATTTTTATGTAATCATATTCCATGCTTTACTTGACCGTGTTCACCTCTGTACACCATTTGAAGTATTGTTTCAAATGCATGTAAAGTTCCCCAAATCTCTTCTGAATAAATATTTATCGTACCGTTGTCAATTTCTAGTGAATCTAGATAATTTATAATATATATATATATTTACATTCAAACTTTACAAGTGTACTCAACTCACATGACTCGTTCATTGAGGCCGACGGCCACAATTTACTCTCTTCCTCATTACATCCTTCCGATATGTTAACTGAAATACGAGATATTAAACATTTCTCTTTTAATGGATAGGCAGTAGGTATGTGTTTCATTCTCAATCGTAATAAAAAGCGTCGCATAGCCTCTTCCAATATATAACATGACGGGTAATCATTTTCAAAACTCAACAATTCATCTATTTTACATAATCCACCATGACCAGAGTAATTTTTAATTTTAGGAATAGAACCAAGGGAAAGCGAGAGTTTAAATATTATTAAGAGTATTATTGGGAATTTCATGATTAAGAGTCTATCCATCTGAAAAAAGGGCAGACGTATCACTTTAATTCCTTCCCTACTTTTTCTGATGGTGTTGAAATTGAAACGTACAATTCCATAATAGTTTCTTTTTATACTTCACAGATTTTATTTTTATTTTTCATGTTTATAAAAACTGTAGTGTTTAAGAATATAATAGCGAATTACGTACTTGCTCTAGTGAACCTTGAAAGTGCAATGGAATGTTTTGCAATGATGGCTTGGTGTAAAGATCAACCTTCAGATGAGTGAAATACGTGTAAGGTTAAAAACACTTGAGATATACAAATAAAAACGGAATTTGTGAGTAGTCAAAGTTGAAAATGCTGTCTAGTATACAATGAAAGACATAAAAAACAACAAATTTATTGGGATATTGTGGCGAGTGCTACTGATAAGATGTATCAGTAGTATATAAAAGATGTTCATCAGCATAAAAATACCAAATAGCAGGCAGATACATTTGATTTCAGAGAAGGCAAACAATACAGTGTTATGGAGATACATGGGAGACATGAAAGGAACACAAAGAAACACAATAAGAAGTCTAGAAGTACCACAGCACGAAGATCTTTGCAAACTGTACGTTGACGATAAGGTATTTTAGAGAGTGTAGGTATCGAACGTTCGCGAGTTGTACGGATTATACTAACGCAAGATCTTATACCAACAACCACTATAGTGTTCGTTCTTCGAGTACCAAATGGTAAAGCAAAAGACCAGATTTTGTCGTCCAAATACGATATATATTTTGGGACCAAATCGCGGGTAGGAATGAATGCTTAGCTAGCTAGTAATCGTGCACGCACGTGACACGACGAAGCACCAAATGGCGGGGATGCTTGACCGTAAGCCTTCAGCTAAACAAGTCGACTTAAACAGTGATGGTCAGCATCCAATGTTGAGTGATGATTGCTGTGGTTAATAATTTTGGGGAATTATTTACCGCTACAGCTCACTCCCCCCCTAGTGGGGTTGTGAGGACCCTAAGACATGACCAGCCGGAAGTAAAAAAATCTGGATGGTTCCCTGATGGGTGAAAAAAATCTTCCGAGCGGCTTGATGGAGAGCCTGCTGGTCTGTCTGCCTATGCTAATAGGGTGTCTGTGCATAGCTTCCTCGGTATTTTTCATTGGATCCCGTGCTTCGTTTGTTTTCTGTCCAGTGCCCGTTGCACCTGGAAAAGAAAACAAGAATGCTGAGAACCTTGTCAAGAAAAATGTACCAAATAAGCGTTTTTTTTACCAAAAAAAATATGACATGCATCTACTACACAGTAAAATAATGTAAAGTGCAAAATATCGGGAAAAAAATATATACATCTAATTTAATTTTATGTACGGTTATAGGAAAAATATCATTTACTTGTGCTAAATGACGCAACATAAAAAAAATTGATGTGTCACTCAGTTATGTGAAATAGGTGTGGAGGTATTCTGGGAATCTAACGTGACGTCCAGAACGCGTTTTTTTAGAGTGATCGACCGAAGTAGTCAGTGGGCGAATGCCCTGACAGTCAATAGTGTGACCCAGAAAATCGAGTGAGTCAACGCCTATCTGACACTTCTGTATATTGATGGTAACACCATGTTGGCGTAACCTTTCAAATGCCAAGTCCAAGTGTCTAAGGTGAGTTTCCTTATCTGGACTGGCAATGAGGCAGTCGTCTAAGTATGCGTATACAAAGTCGAGACCGCGAAATACTTCGTTGATGAAGCGTTGGAATGTTTGGGCCGCATTCCGGAGGCCGAATGGCATACGTAGAAATTCGAAAAGTCCGAAAGGCGTAATGATAGCCGTTTTCGGGATATCTTCCGTTGCCATCGGGATTTGGTTATATGCTTTAACCAAGTCGATTTTGGAGAATATAGATGCTCCAGATAACGTTGCCGTCAAGTCGTGTATGTGAGGCAATGGATAGCAATCAGGAGTTGTTTTGGCGTTGACTCGCCGGTAATCACCAGTGGGTCGCCAATCGTTACTATCTTTTTTTGGAACCATATGCAACGGGGATGCCCATGGACTATTCGATGGTCGAATGATGCCAAGGGTGAGCATATGATCAAATTCGTTTCTGGCAATTCTCAGTTTGTCAGGGGCCAGTCGTCGTGCTTTAGATGTCACGGGCTGTCCTGAGGTTATGATGTGGTGCATAACATTGCTGGTTATACACGGGAGATCGTTAGATGGGCAATTGAGTTCCGGATATTTGTCAACAATCGGTTGGAAAGTTGGATCGGGGATTGCTTTCATCTTAACGATTGACAAGCTTGGGCCTACGTAAGTTATGCCTTTGATAGACAAACTAGTAGTGTTGTCAATTAATCGTTTACGGCGGACGTCTACGAGCAAATCATGATGATTAAGTAGGTCCGTGCCGATGATGGGCATTGTGACGTCAGCGATAAGAAAAATCCACCGAATAGGTTTGCGTAAACCTACGTTCAGATAGACGTATTTCCGACCATAGGTTGCAATTGGTTTTCCATTTGCAGCCTGTAGGTTGAAGTTAGGATCCTTCTGTCGATCTGCTGCTGTAGCAGGAAGGACGCTGACTTCGGCGCCTGTGTCGACTAGATATCTAGTCTGGCTAATTACATCATGGATGTAAAGTAAGCGGCTAGTGCCACCGGCGACGGTTGCCGCTAACGCGTGCCGGCGGGATAGTTTCCCACAGACTTGGAGGCTTTGCCGAAATCACAAGGTTTTCGACAACATTTCGCTTCCTTGCCATAGGTGTTGTGATACCAACACCAGTCAGGACTTTTGAGAGAACGTGTGTTGGACTTAGATCGTCCACGTGCGTTTATACGTTGAGGGGATTTAGAACGACGATAGGAGGAATTGCTAGGCTTGTTTGACCTAAGCATCTGCTGGACGGAGTTGATTAACTCTATCATTGCCGAATCCTTCTTCGAAGCCTGTTCGGTAACTGAGTATACTTCGGTAACTGGCCGTTTCGTTATCTCTAGAATTCTATCTGCAGAGACAGCTAAATCATCTATGAGAACACCCTGAAGTGTCACAAGTACAGTCTGAACTGACTGTGGCAGTTTGGATAGAAATAGTTCTCTAAACAGTCCTTCATCGAACTGACTTTGGCCAATGATCTCTTTCATTCTTGCCAGCATGCTCACGGCTGACTGATCTCCTAACTCGATGTTACGAAATAACTCATCCAGACGTTGCCGATCTGTGAGAACGTTTCTCCTGAGGATGGATGCTTTTAGCAACTCGTACGAGTTACTTACCGACATCTGCAGAGTTACGCACTTGCTCAATTCCCGCGGTAGGGCGTGAATAACTGCAAGGAACTGTGAACGTTGGTCAGTTATGCCATGTTCACAAAAATCGGACTCAGCAATCTGAAACCACGTTTCAGCATTATCTGGCCAAAATGGTACTAGCTGAATTGTTTTGGCGGTTGAGCGAATCTGAATAACCTTGGGGCTAGGATCACTCATGACGAAAAGTATGCCGATAACAATATAGTACAAGAATAAACACAAAAAGGAACGAACTCACCGGGTTTATCTGCGTGTGAATTGAAGATGTAGTTCGAGGTCGGGCTCACCAGTTTAGAGATTGACGGTATCGACGTTCGCGAGTTGTACGGATTATACTAACGCAAGATCTTATACCAACAACCACTATAGTGTTCGTTCTTCGAGTACCAAATGGTAAAGCAAAAGACCAGATTTTGTCGTCCAAATACGATATATATTTTGGGACCAAATCGCGGGTAGGAATGAATGCTTAGCTAGCTAGTAATCGTGCACGCAAGTGACACGACGAAGCACCAAATGGCGGGGATGCTTGACCGTAAGCCTTCAGCTAAACAAGTCGACTTAAACAGTGATGGTCAGCATCCAATGTTGAGTGATGATTGCTGTGGTTAATAATTTTGGGGAATTATTTACCGCTACAGTATCAATAATTTGGCTATATCGAGATAAGCAGTATTAAGCTCAAAAATGGCTACTAATTCATATAGAAAATCCCAACGCGATTAATCTGAATAGAAATCCAGCATCATCCATTGCAAAACACTTATTAATGTCAGGTCACAAAATCAAAATTAATGACTGTTTTACAACTATTTCACATTACTCTAACTCAAGGTTATTGAAGGTGATGGAAGCACTTTGGATTAATCACATGCAGCCTAAATTGTGTGTACAAAGAACAATAGACTTCAATCTTCGAATACCATGGACTACATGACCTTTTAAATATGACTGGTCACTAGTATGTACTTTTGTTTTTATTTAACTGAGTAATTGTCATGAACTTTATTTTATTATTGTTAACCATGTTATTTGTAAAGCGGTTGTAAAGAAACTACGAAATGATATCATCTCGCGAAATTTGTCTTCTTAATGCCTTATTCAAATTTATCAGAGGGACTAATTGTTTTAATATGCACCAGTATGCAGGCTTGAAGGATCGAAAATGTTAACAGTGACGACTGATGCATACACTGGTCATAATGACCTCATGACTAATTTGGCTGGACTTATCCGGCATGTTGGTTGAAATTTCGCTCGGCAAATTTTTTTGTCAATAATTTTTAATAAAATTTTGTTATATGTTTTCTGGATTGATAGGAATTCTCATTTCCTGGCTAGTTATGTTGGTGTCCGCGTCATGTAATCTGACTGCGACACACTTAACATATTGGTTGTAATGATTAGTATTTGATGCTGAATGCGTCAAAACACCTCTACAATGAAGAAGATGGGGGTAGTTGGGGGGTAATATCATCCACACAAATAGTTTATTTCTTGTAGAAGCTGCAGCTTTCGACATAATGTCATTCAATGAAGACTACGTCAAAATGTGGCTATTTTCGTGTGAAGAACAGTACTATTTTACAAAAGAATGCTATCAGTACATGGGAATCACCTATAAATGCCAACAGAACGTAAAACCAATGTGTAAACGAACGGCTACGGAATTGCAATCCAACATTACCGACTAACATGGACGAAAATGACCTTTGAGCGTTTCACTCCATCAATGACCTTGAGCATGCGGGATAATTTCAGCCGTAAAATATGATACTTCAGGATTGTTATTTATAA